CAATTCACAGTAGCCAAGACATGGAAACACCCTAAGTGTCCGCTGACAGAGGAATGGATAAAGAAGATGTGGTATGTGTATACAGTGGAATATTACTCAGCTGTGAAAAAGGATGAAATGATGCCATTTGTAGCAACACAGATCAACTAGAGGTTATCACACTAAGTGAAGTAAGTCAGAAAGAGAAAGACAAACACCACATGATATCATGAATATGTGGAATCTAAAACATGACACAAATGAACCTACCTATGGCCCTGTGGCAAAGACTCCGCCTGCCGATGCAGGAGACACAGGAGACGTGGGTTCCCTCCCTGGGTTGGGAAGATCCCCTGGAAAAGGAAATGGCAGTTCACTCTAGTATTCTTTCATGGAGCATCCCATGGACAGAGGAGGCTGGAGGGTTACAGTCCATGGGTCACAGAGGGTAGGACACGACTGAGTGTGCACGTGATAACATCATAACGGTAACAATGGCCAGGCTGCGCAGGGGAATGCCTGCCCTGTCTCTTCAACAAAGGAGGGGAGCATGCGGGAGAGGGAAATCGGGGCTCCAGGCGCCCTTCTGTGTGGGTGAGGTCACCAGGCCGGTCCTGAGCTGTATGCAGTGACCCTGCCTCCCTGGGCTGGGGCGGGGGGCGGGAGGGGGACACTGGGGGGAGGCCGATGTCCTTGGGAGGGCGGGCCGTTCAGAGGTTCCACCCGCTCTGCAGCCCCGATTGCCCGCTCTGGACCCTGCGGCTGCCTCGTGTCCACCTGGGGTGAATGGCTTCACGCTGGGCGTGTTTCTTTGTGCCTGTGGGGACCCCGTGGTACCCCCTCACACGGGCCTCGTGGAGCCTGTGACAGACGAACGTGGGGGGTGCACAAGGACACGTGGGGCGGGCGGCTCAGCACAGGCAGCGCCCTTCACATGGAGCTGGGGAGTCCCCAACGTGGGAATGTGGGCTGACCTGAACTTCGCATTTATGGGGCGGGGCAGAAGCAGGTGGACAATGCGCAAGAAGAGAGATGCAGAAGGCTCACCTCTGGCTGTCAGCAGCGGCATTTGCTTCCAGAGCGGCGTCAGAACTGCGGTCTGCTTCTCCTTCCTTCCCCCTAGCCCGGTCCTCCCAGCGCATGTCCTCGGCGGTCCCTGGAATCACTTGGGCAGCTTTACCCCCGAAAACTGGGTGCCTGGGTCCGACTCCCAGAGAGTCTATCCTCCCGGGCCTGGGAATGACGCGGGCACTGCGAGTGTTAAGCGCCTCCTGGAGAACCGCCCTCTGAGGCTGGGAGGCCCTGAGGATGAGCGGGAAGCTGAGCCCCTCCTGGCGGACCCCGGGAACACACAGCAGCTGGCGCAGGCGGGAAGGCGCTTGGGCTTCCTGAGCCGGTGGGACCCTCGCAAAGGGGCCGGAGTGCCTCCCCTGAGTCCAGTCCTCGGCTGGCCTGGAGCAGTCTCCCTCTTGGCACCTGTGGGGTCTTCAGAGGGCGAGCCGGGGGCAGGTGAGGGTGGCCACGTGTCCACTCCGGGGGATGCGGGCCCCCTGCCGCCTGCCTCAGGCCCTGGCAGCCTGGCCAGGCTGCTCCCGGGCGCGCCTCTTCCTGGGAGAGCTCCAGCTGGGCCCCTCCGACCTCACAGGCCCCCAGCATCCACACCCGCCTCCCCAGGAGGGGCAGGGCCGCGTGGCCCCCACACGGTGCTGGGCTGGCCTTTCAGCGTTCCATCCGTCAGCCCTAGGACCCCCAAGTCGTTCTGTTCACACTCGTTGAAGAAAGGCACAGGTGCACAAGGAACAAAAAGACGCTTTTATTAAAAATTGTACCCATAGCACCTCTCTGTCTTCCTACAAGTGTTTTTGTTTTTAAAGGAGATCTAGTTTTCTGCACAATTCCAGAAAATGTGGCCGGGAAAAGTTCAGGATTGACCCAAGCCCCGGATAAACTGGCAGGTGAGGCTGACAGGGAACGAGGCGACCGGCTCAGTCCCAGGGTTCCCCCCCACCGGATCCCACCTCTTGGACAGTCCACGTGGCAGAGATGCTGAGCCAGAGAGCTGCGTCTGGATATGCAGACTGCCGGCTCGCTGGGAGAAGAACTACGCTGTGTGCCAGGAATTTGTAAAAACCGAAAACCATGCTATGAACCATTAGAACCACTATGCAAACACCATGCGGCGGTCCGGTCGCATCAAGGGCAAGGGCAGCGTCACCAGGGCTTTGCGGAGAGCGCACCCCCCCCACCCCGCGGTCTCGCCCGACGCTGTCCCACGGCTCAGGTTCCTCCACGATGGCGTGTACCGAGGGCTACTTAAAAGCGTGGCTGGGGATAGGGAGGCCTCACTTTGGGCCGATTTATTCAGAGGGAGGAGGTGCAGGAGATCCAGGAGATGTGCTCCACAGCCGCTGGGTGCGGGCACTGTCCACGGCCCTGCCCTGTTGCTCACTGGCCTGGAAACCTGTTCCTGGGAGCCCCGGGCTGGGCAGGGGGGACCGGAGTCTGCGGAGGGGACGGGAGCCCCGGGAAAACCCATCTCTGCTACTCAGGCAGAGAGCGCGGCTGTAGTCCTCACGGGAAAGGGCAGCCCGCCTGCCCATCACCAGGCCTTGGATAGGGTCCCCCTCGAGGCCGAGTGCCTGACACCTGCAGGGCATCACCGCGGGAACAGGCAGGAGAGGACATGCCTCCTGCCTCCGTTAGAGAAATGGTGCCCATCCTGGGTTCAGAACCAAGATTAAAATCCAACATCCATTTCCCTATCATGTGATTTTTTTTCCCCTCCCTCAAGAGGAGAGGTTAGGAACCCACGCTTCTCAATGTCACACTGTCTGGAAGCTGAAATCTAACCAGAAACACCCAGCTCTCCCTTGGGTCCAGCAGCTCCCACGGCCCAGAGCCCCGGGGCCACTGGGCCAGGCACACGTGCCAATGCCGTGGCAGCCGTGAGCTGCAGCCTCGGACACACGGTTCCGTCCCAAAGAAGCTGGCTCCGAGCAGAAAGAAGAAGGAAGTATAATGAGCCTGGGGAAAAGGTGCTGCTGTTGCAGAAACCCCAGAGCAGGACACACACCTCAAACCGAACTGTCCTGGTGCCAGGACATTCCGGCACTCTCCCGCCCTGAAGCAAGGCTCCGTATGGCTTAGAGAGCAGAGCGCCAAGGCAGAGTGTGTCCATGTTCTCTGTCCACTGCTTGTCTCCCGAGAAATTCGAGGTGCAGCCTCACGGCTTCCTATCCACTCCCCATCTGGGGCCCGAGAGGATGGAGGCCGGCCTGTCCAGGGAGCTGGGGGGGTGAGTCTTTGCAGGGGAAGCTTTGGGCAGAGCATCCAGGATTTTTGGTTTAGAACGTTTCCCCTCCACTCAGAGAAGGAAGGAAGGAAAAGAGGGATGGAGGGAGGGGGCAGGGGGAGAGAAAGAAGCCTTTCCACATCCCCTACCTCTACTTTTGGAGAAACTGAAAAGGGGTCTTTTACCCAACACAAAACTCTAAAACAGAAAAGGGTTTTTTCTTCTCTCTTCTCACACAACACAAGCTTTTCTTGGTCTCCTGGGGTCACACCCAGCAACTCTGAAAGCAGAGGGTCAAGATGGCCCTCTGCCCTGAGGAGGGGGGAAGAGGGAAGGGGAGACCCCACAGACCACACGACTCACGGCCGGGCCCCGAGACGGGCTCCCTGCTGGCGCTGGCCAGGCGCTGGCTCGGGGACAGGCCGGCCGCACAGGAGGACAGGCCGGCCCTGCTCCCCTGTGCTGGGGGCGTGGACAGGCCCCCCGCTGACCAGGCTGGACCTGCGGCCCTCCCTCAGGCCCGCGGGCACACCCTGGAAAACTCTAGACTGGACCGGGGCTAGGGGCTCGACCACCTGCACTCCCCACACCTCTCACAAAGGTGATGTGCCGCACTGCAGGCGGAGCTACCGTTTGGACTCATTTTCAGAGCAGCTCTGCTGCTTCCATTTAGCTAAAAATAAACGAAAACAAAACAGTAACGATTAAAGGGAAGAAAGGTTTCCAGAGAACCCGTTAAGGCTGAGAGCTGGCCTGGGGTCGGGGGACGGGACCACAGCGCTGCGCCAAGGAAGGATGCGGCCACGCGCGCGGAAGGGCCTGGGGGGCACAGGGTGGGGTGGGGGGACTGGGGACCCCGTCTTCTCAGAGCCTTCTGCTTTACTCGGAGACACCGTGGCTCTTTGTCTTTCCCGCGGACAAAGCCGAACAATGAAGAGAAAGGCACCTGCAGACAGCTGAGACGCATTCATTTCATGTGACTTATTTTAAAAAAAGATAAAAAGATTTAAAAAATACTCTGGTTAACAATGCACACCTCTTACACGACAAGCGATTCTGCGGCTGCTGTCTCCTTGGGGCGGGCCTGCGCTGTGTGCTCGGGGGGAGGGAGCTCGGGGCGGGGGCAGGAGGTGGCTCCCAGCTGGGATGCTTCCTGCTGCTGGACGATGGGGGTCGAAAGAAAGGACCGAAGTGGGAAAGCCCCGAGTATTTCACCCCTGGAATGAACCTTGGCCTCTGTCGCCCTGTTGCCAGGAGCTGTGAAGCCGGCTCCTCGCCTAAAACTGCCCAGTGAGGACATTCCAGAGACGGATGCACGAGGTCGGGAGGCTCCGGGCCCAGGTCAGACACCTGCTCCTAGTGCCAGGAGACCCGGGCGGGCGCTGGTTCTCAGGCAGGAGGTAGAGCAGAGAGGGGAGAGGCCTGGAGGACCCCCATCCCCCTCTCCCCAGCCTTCCCAGGCCGCACGATGCAGAAGCCGGGCCCCAGGGCTCAGGCCTTCCCAGCCCTTGCACCCAGTGAAACACACCTTCTCGTAAAAAGAAAAGAAAACCAAAGAAACCTGCTTCCTGCAGCGATGTTACAAAAAGCCAGTAAAAAAAAGTTCCTAATTGAAATCGTGTTCACAAGGGGGTGAAATCAACCATCAGCGTCAGATCCTCTCAACCCAGCTGAACCCAGTTCCGGGAGGTGATTGTCTCGACACGGCCGCGCGGGGCCGCCGCTCAGCTCACACGAAGGACGAGAAGCCGGTGAGCGGAGTCCGGGCGCCGCGGGCCGCGGGCGCGAACACGGCGCTCTGCGTGGTGACGACCGCGCGCGGGGCCGGCCCGGCCTCCGCCCCCGCCACCGCCTCGTACCTGTGCGGGGCCGCGCCCGCGCGCCGCTTCCACGAGTTGTAGTAGGTGGGGTCGCTCAGGTAGTGGTTGACGAACGAGTGCTGGGGCGGCGCGTCCTCGGACTCGGAGTCGGTGACCTGTGGGCGGACGGACGGACGGGCGGGCTCAGCCGGACGGCCAGGGACAGGGGGAGGCCCGGGGCTCCAGGAGGGCGCGGACGGGGGCTGACGTGGGAGGGTATGGGGGTGGTCTCGAAGGGGCGGCCCCTGGAGGGAGGCGCGGCCATGGAGAGTGGGGGTGTCGAGGAGGGAGCGGGCCACGGGGTGGCGGAGGGACACACGGGGGGTGGGGGCGGCCACGGGCAGCAGGGCTGAGCAGGGAGCAGCAGCGGCAGTCTAAGGCGGGATGGTGCCGCTCACCTGTTTCTCTCCCTTTCCCCTCCTCCCACCCCACCCTGCCTCCCTCTCTCCCCACCACCTGGGTGTGGACCACCCCAGGGCCCAGCTCCCGGAGACCACAGAGAGCTCAGCGTGTCCACGGGAGCCAGCTCGTTGCTCCCAGAGGCTCTGCTCCCCCGTCCTCCTGGGGCCTGAGCTGGTCCCAGGACACGAATCCACTGCACTCTTGCTTCAGGGGAGTCTGCACTCCATCCCCTCCCAGGACAGGTCTACACCCCATCCCCTCCCGGGACAGGTCTATACCCCCATCCCCTCCCGGGACAGCTCTACACCCCATCCCCTCTCGGGACAGGTCTACACCCTCATCCCCTCCCGGGACAGGTCTACACCCCACCCCCTCCCGGGACAGGTCTACACCCTCATCCCCTCCCGGGACAGGTCTACACCCCCACCCCCTCCCGGGACAGCTCTACACCCCATCCCTTCCCGGGACAGCTCTGCACCCCCATCCCCTCCCGGGACAGGTCTACACCCCCACCCCCTCCCGGGACAGGCCTACACCCCATCCCCTCCCGGGACAGGTCTACACCCCACCCCCTCCCCGGACAGGTCTACACAGCCCCCAGGGGATGCCCTGTGTCCCCTGTGGAGAATGCAGCAGCGCCAGGGGGTGTGGAAGGCCCAGGTGCTGCAGACTGCCCGAGACTATGGCACAGGCCCCCAGACCGAGGGTCTGATGGTGAGCTCAGTCAGGGTGAGGAGACGGTGTCCTCCGTGGGACGCGTGCTTCCGGGCAGCGCCACATCCAAGCTGACCTCCGTGGGGAGGTTTCCTAGGACAGAGGCCCTATTGGAGCGTGGTGTCTGCTGTCCAATGTCCTGGAGCCCCTCCCTCTGCAGCCGGAGGGAACTGACCCCTCCCCTTGGGGTCCCAGAGCAGCCGGTGGAGGAGGCAGGCGGCCTGTGGAGGTTCAAGGTCAGTGAGCCAACGGGAACCCGCCCTGCGAGTTTCCCCGCCGCTCCTGGAAGAGCTGAGTGCTTCCCTGGGGGACAAGGCTGTGGGCCCACCAAGCGGCCCCCAAAGCCGCTGGGACAGAACGAAGCCATCGTGCAGAATGGACAGGGGAGGCTAAGAGCTGTTCCTCCAGCGTCTCGTTGTTCGTCTAGGGAGAGGGCGAACGTGTCCCCATCTCGGGACACATGGGGGTGCGGGTGAGAGCCTCGGGGCTCCTGTTCACGTCTCGCTTTCGCTTCCACGAGAAAGCACAGGATTAAAATGTCATTCTCCGTCCTGCTGCCTGCTCTGTTTATTGTTGATATGACATTATTATTTTTTAATGAGGATGTATTTTAGTGAGTTAGAATTATTGACAGAAAGGAAACGCTGCGGGGTCTTTCTTTTTTTTTTCAAGTTTCCTGTGTGATATGAAGTAGCGATGTGAGTCCGTTTCCCAGGAAACCGAGGAAGGCCAGCCTGTGATTGGATGAGCCTGCAGACCTGACCATGAGTTTCTAAAGGCGCGTGGATGCCTGGCAAGCAGCTAACAGAGATAATCTCAGGACTTCTGGTGCTGTGCTAGCAAGATGAAAGACTCCAATATTATTAGAGGATTAATTAAGTGCGAGGGGGCTGATCTAAGTTGGCTGAAGCCAGAGAGACCTTGAAGACTGTTTCTGTGGATTTTGAAAATAATTTTTAAAATGCGATTCGAACAGTAGCCCTGATATAATTCATAAGCTGCTGGGCGATAAAACGGAGAAAAAGTCCCTCATTTCTAAGTGGAGAAACATCAAGAGCCACAGCGTGTATCCTGCGAGGCCAATGGTCTAATTCAGAGCCGCTCTGATCAGGCAGGTTCTCCTGCACCTGTGAGCCGGTTCTCAGAATTGTCACTTGAGTAATATTTCTGAAAACGGTTAAAAAACACCCCAGGGAGAAAATGACAGCATCACAATTTTTTTTTTTCAGTGAAGTATTAGCTTTGCAGGAGAGCTTTTCTGGCTGAGAGCTCACACGGTTTCTGGCTCTGGAGGAGAGGGTGGGCAGTAAAGATGGGCAGGGGACCCCCTACCTGGGTCGTCAACCAACTACTGATACAAAAAATACTTCCAGAATGGCTGGAAGAAGCAGCAGGTCCTTCCCACAGTAGAACAATGATTCAACTGGGGGAAAATCGAATTATCAACAATTATTTGGAGTCTCTGGAAATGGTGCCAAGGGCATATAGCAAATGGGGGAAGATTTATTGCAGAAAGTCTAAAATCACTAAGAGGAGCAAGAGTGTGAGCTGCTTGAACTCTGACCTGCTCCCCCTACCCCCAGCCAGGATGATGGAAGCTCCACTTGCGGTGGGGGGCGGGAGGGGGGAGGCGCATGTGGCCAAGAAGCCAGGGCCCCTCCCCTAGAACTCCTAGTCCAGGAATTTGGTTTGACTTGGAGGAGGAAGCTGCCGGCATCTCTCAGCCAGCTGCTCATCCCCAGCTCCAGTCTCCAGAGGTATTCCTGGAGGTGTGGTCGGGAGGACTGGGCTCCCCTCCTCACCGGGGCTGCTGGAGGCTGGCGGGCTGCGAACACTGATCCCTGCGCGCCCCACCCTCGTGGCTGGTGGGAAGGGCTCCACGCAGGGGGGGCGGGGCACAGCCAGAAGCCCAGGGGCGTCCATCCCCACCCAGGGCCTCACTGGTCACCGTGGAGGAGGGGGCCGTTGTCCCCACCCCAGCTTTGGTGTGACACCGAAGTCCTCATGGCGGCAGTCAGCCCTGCAGAACAGAGAGCTCTCCGCTTTGCTGCAGGGGGTAGCTTTATTTGGACCAGGCCTCGTGGCTCAGACGGTAAAGAATCTGCCTGCAGCGCAGGAGACCCAGGTTCAGTACCTGGGTTGGAAAGATCTCCTGGAGAAGGGAATGGCTACCCACTCCAGTATTCTTGCTGGAGAATCCCACGGAAGGAGGAGCCGAACAGGACTGAGTGACTAACAGTCTCACTTTTCATGCCTCAGGGCATTGCTGGAGACTGTGGAGACCTCAGGGGCGAGAAATGAAGAGGTAAGTCCTTGAGAGTAACAAGGAGGGCAATAAACCGCCAGAGGTTTAGCAGGGAGGACCAGGCAAAGAGACAGCCGAGGGGAGCCCTCTTGGGCTTAGAGAAGAATTCAAAGATTAACAACATCCTGCTGGCTGCAGAAGGGCTGGGCCTGTGATTGGATCCAACTGTGGAGTAATTTATACTCTGGAGCCTTGTCGAAAATAATAGAGCTGGCAGGGAGAGGAGGTTAACAGCTGGGTGTGATACCAGCTGTGGTGGGCCTTCCAGAACCTTAATGGGAAGGTAAGAACAAGAGACAGGGGATGCCTAGCTGAGACCCCAGGCTCCCTGGTTGTCATGGAAACCACCCGTGTGCCCAAGGCCGCACCTCGGAGGGGTGACATCAGAGCGGACACGTTGCTGAGGACGTGGACTTCCCTAACTAGTCCAGACGAGTCACTGAACAGATAAGCGAACAACAAGGACAACAATCAGGGGGGGTTGAATATGGGTATTCAAAGTGAATATAAGATATTATTTAAAATATTTTCTTGTTTTCAAAAAACAGCAAAGTGTGATCCATACACAGGGAAAAAAAGCAGGCAGCCTCTGAGAAGCCTCAGATATTGGCAGGCGAAGACTTTCATAGTAGCTATTATAATATGTTCAAAGAACTGAAGGACACCATGTTTAAAGAATTAAAAGTATGCTGACACTATCACACCAAGTGGAGAATATCAATAGAGAGATAGCAGTGACTTAAAAGGACCAAATGAGAAGTTCCAGAGTTGAAAAATCCCAAAACCAAAATGTAAAATTCACTGGGGGGACTCAACAGGAGATTTGAGCTGACAAAGGAAGGAGTCAGGGCGCTTGAAGATAGATTGATAGAGACTGCTCGCCACAGTCAGTCGCTCAGTCGTGTCCGACTCTTGGCGACCCTTTGGACTATAGCCCACCAGCCTCCTCTATCCATGGGATTTTTCAGGCGAGAATAATGGAGTGGGTTATGCAACTTGAAAAACAATGGGCGGGGGGAGACGAAACAGAACAGCTGATAAATGTGACAAAGCACTCAGGGTAGTAACGTGTGTGTGATGGGAATACCAGATGAGAGAAGAAAGAAAGAAGCAGAAAAAATACTGAGAGTTACAATGACTTAAAACTTCCCAAATCTGGTAAAAACAAAACAAACAGACAAAAAAAAAAAAAAAAAAACTGCATACTCAACAAGCTCAATACCCCAAGAGTAAGATAAATGGAACAAGACTCACACCCAGACACATCATAGTTATAGTTAAGATTCTGAAAGACAAAGGCAAAAAGAAACTCCTGAAATTGAAAGGAGAAAAATGACTCATCCAGTCCAACAAAATTCAAATTATGTTAACAGCTGACTTCTGGTCAGAAAAAATGGAGGACAGGAGGCAATGGGCTAACACATTCAGAGTGTTGAAAGAAAACTGTCAATCATGAATCTTTTATTTAGCAAAACTACTTTCATAAATAAAGATGAAATAGGACATTCTGAGATGAACAAAAACAGAAAAATTCATTGCTAGCAGACCTGCCTTATAAGAAATACTAATGGAAGATGGTCAGGTTGAAGGCCAATGACGCCAGACAGCAAATCAAATCCACACACACACACAAGTAGCAACAAAGATAATTACACAGGGAATTATAAAAGGCAGTATAAGTACCTCATCTCCTTTCTTCTCTCATCTGATTTAAAAAGCATTTCCTAAAATATGAGGTATATAATTATATTGTATAATTATATTGTTGGGTCCATCATACATAGAAATGTAACATAATTCTAGTGGCACAAAAAGGTGGGGAGAAATGAAGAGAACCAAAAATCGGAAGCAGAAGGGTTAATATGATAAACTCTCATACTTGCTCACCTTTCTCCTCTCAACTTCTTTAAAAGATACAAAATTCTGTACAATTAGAAAAATGCTTCTATGGGTCTGTCACAAATATGGACATAATATGATAATAATAAGCACAAATGGGGAGGAGAGAATAGATTTATACAAGAATAAATGTCACTGAGATTTAGAATAAATCTAAAGCAAATACTAATACGAGGGCAATCACTATAAAAAAAACTGAAAAAAAATATAGTAAAAGCAAAACAAGGGAATTGAAATATTCACTGGATATACACTAGAAAACAGCCACTGAACAACAACAAAATGAGTGAAGAAAAAATAGAGAAATAGAGACACGAGACTCACAGAAGGCAAACACCAAAATGGCAGGTGTCAATTCTGGAATTCGCAGCAATTACATTAACTGTGAATGGATTAAACAATCTGGTGAACAGGTATAGATTGGCAGGATGAATAAGGACAGCATGACCCAACTTTGTGCTGCCAACAAAAGACACATTTCAGATCCAAGGATTCGGACAAGCTGAAAGTGAAATGATGGAAATGATACACCATGTGAGCAGGAACCAAAAAGAGCTGGAGTGACTGTGCCGATGTCAGGCCAGATAGACTCTGAGACAAAAACTGTGACTAGAGACCAAGAGGGGCATGTGATACTCATAGAAAGGTCTGTCCATCAGGAAGACACCAGTTATAGACAGACACGCACCTAAAACAGAGCCCCCAAATACAGGAAATGAAAACTGCCGGAAATGAAGAGAGAAATAGAGAATGTTAACAGGAACTGTTGGAGACCTCAGTACGTTGACAGATGGCGGAAAGATGGAGAGTGTGGAAGGCTTGAACGGCACAATAAATCAACCGGACGTAGCAGACACACACGAACCCTCCCCACAGCAACAGCAGAGCGACCGGCCTTTTCAAGAGGGTTCCTGCCACACAGGCCAGATGCTGCGCCACAAGACAAGCCTCGATAAACAGAAGAGGGTTGGAGATACATAAAGTATGTTCTTTGACCACAGCGGGATGAAATTAAAAACCATTAACAGCAGAAAATTTGGGAAGCTCATAAATGTGAGCAAGCTAAACACACACACCTAAATATTCAATACGGTGAAGATGTGAACTGTGCGGTGTGTGAATGACATCTCAGTCTGGTTAAGAGACCAGACTGGTTCAAAGGAAAGGCTCCCATCGGAGCTGGCACTTCCGAGACCCCTCTGTGGGGACCCCGTGAACCTGCCTACAACTCTCCCAGGTCATAACGTTCAAAGCTGGGCCCCCAGCAGGATGACAGAGCACAGAATTCTGGGGGAAGAGACGGGCCTCACTGCATCTACCCGAGAACTCAGGAGCAGACGGGGAGCCCAGGAACACGAGTTCTTAGCCTGGACTCCCAGACCCTTCACGGGAGGCGCCTGCCTACCACAGGCTTTGGGGGGCATGGAACCCTAGATTCAAGGTGACACACCTCGGTGGAGACAGCGTCTGTACTTCTGATCAACTTTCTAGAACCAGAAAGTGTTAGTACCTGCAAAGCATCTGTGGGAATCATGGAAGGGGCCTCTTCCTCCAGGCAGCGGGCACACCTTGGCCCGCCCTCGCTCAGCCATGTGTCCTGGGCGTGGAGAACTCGAGTCCACCCAGGAGCACGTGTCTGGGGAAGACACTCAGAACCTCCACGAGCCTCAGCTCTCCCATCTGTTATGTGAGGATCCGGATGACCTCCTTGCAGGATTTAGTGTGCATTCCACGTCGCTCTCGCCTCCTACCCTCGCCCCCTCCCTTCTTCCGTTCTTGCTGCCCTCTTCCCTGTGTGCATGTGTGCATCTGTACAAGTGCATGAGCGCATACATGTACACATACACGCATGCATCAGCCTAGTGCCTGCAAGCATTTAATAATCCTCCATGTGAATCAGATGGATCTGACACGCAAAACACCCCTGCCTATGAGAGGACAGACTGACTGGCCCGCGTTTAACCCATTCTGAGCATGCTTTTATGAACAAGTAGTCCAGAATCGATGAGTCCAGTCCTGGCAGTGCTGGGAATGGCCTCTGTGGCCCGGGTGTTGGGCGGGAGAAGAGGGGAGGGGCGGGGGTCAGTGGGCTCTGGAAGCCGAGGGAGGGGGTGTGTGTGTGGGGTGGCCTCAGCCTCAGCGGTGTCCTAGGGACAAGGACAAGAACCGCCTGCCTCCAGGCCTGGCTGAGGAAGTGCTCAGTTAGCGCTTAGCCTGCGTGGAGCTGTAAAGCCCGCGGGGCAGCGCGGGGCTGCTGTGAGCATCGTCCACAAGGCTCTGAGAGCCTGGGAAGGCCGGGACACAAGCCATCTCTGACCTTTGACCTGGGGAGCTCTGGTTGGCAGCCCACCCCTTCCCGCCGTGCCGCCTTTGGGACGAGCGGCTGGAAAAGGCCACAGACTCCTCATCAGGAAGCTGGGCTCAGCGTTCTCGCTTTTCCGTCCACAGACAGCCCCTCGCGCGGACACAGTGCTTCCCCCGCAGGCCCGCAGGGCGGCTTGCCGCTTCCACGAGGCCAGGCTGCGGTGCGGACAGGCACTCGGCGCCCGCGTCCATGGAGCTCGGAGGCCGAGCGGCCGCGTCCACTGGCCCCCACCTGCGGTCTGGCCCTGTGTGGCTCCTACACAAACCACAGTTTGAAAGAAGCCATTTAATTGAGCCTGAGGGCGCAATCAGTCCTAAACTCAGGTCAAAATGAAGGTGAGACTTATTTTAGATTAAATATTGATTTAGAGTATGAATGCCAAGCGGTGGGGCAGGCCTGCGTGTCTGGCAAACAGCTCGGCAAATTCCGTCCCTGTTGCGGCGAAATCCCGCGGTCAGGACTGGGCACCCAGTTCCCTACCCGCTCAGCGGGGTCGCTCCTGACTGCCAGACGGGCTCTGGGGAAGGGGCTTCCCCGGGGAAGTGGGGCCCCTGTCGGCACCCGCACGGCTCCCTCCAGGGAATGTCCCCCCCTACCCAATACAGAGACATCGCCCAGGACAGGCTCAGCCCCGCAGTGAATGCCCAGGCGCCAGGATGTGTGGGGCGGGGTCCTGGGGGTCACACTGGAGGCTGACACCCCTTGGGCGCGGGGTTTCCCTGGTCCAGGGGCTCCCGCCCCACTCAGGTGACCCGGCTAACTGACCCAGCGCTGCTGTGACCAAAGCAGGAGAGGAAGCCCCCGAGTGGGGTGGCCGGGGGTCCAGGTTCTACCAGTCGGTGGGTTCGGGACCCCGTTACCCCTCGGGGGTCCAGAGGCCACCACGTTCCCCGGTGACCTCCAGGTCGGCCGGGCCTCTTTCTGCGCGTAGAGCACAGGGAGGTTTGCGAACCCGACGTCCACTTTGGACCAGGGACTGACCGGGGAGGTGGCCTCGCACCCCAGAGACGAGCGTGGACCCTCCCCGTCCGGGAAGGGGCGCGCTCTGTCCCGGCTCTGCCTGCCCCGAGCCTCTGTGTGTGTGTGGAGACGCGGCTGAGACCAGGGCAGGGCCCCGGGGGGACGGGAGGGGCGGGAGCCAGCAGCGGGGGGTGGCGGGCACACACCTCGGACTCCGTGGCGTCGCCCGGCTTCTCCTGGAGGGCCCCGCTCTCGGTCAGCGCGGCGCCGTTGTACTTGTTGCAGAGGTCCTCGTCCGAGTAGTGCAGCCCGCCGGGGCTCGGCCGGGGCGGGGACCTGCGGGCCGGACACCAGTCAGCCCCGCCTCCTAGCCCGTCCCCTGGCCTCACCGTGGCTGCGTCGAGAGGAAAGCCACGCACAGCCTCTGGCACCGCTTCGGTGCCACGCAAGCAGTTCCCAGGCCGCCCGCGCTTCCAGTGACGCCTGCCCCTCATCCGGGGCCCGAGGTCCCCCAAGACCAGGTCCCTACACCTGAGACCTGCCTCTTCTTTATCTCTAGAAACGTCATCAAACCACCCCTAACACCCGCCCTCCTGCCCCTGGGATTCGGGGGGACCCGTGGGCGTGGGCCTGGCGGGCGTGGGCCCTTGCGTGGGTGCTGCTGCCCTACCTGGTCCCGTTCTTCTTCGAGAAGGTGTTCTTGACGTTGAGGTGGCGGCTGTTGAGCTCCAAGGCGGCAAACCCCCCGTTGTCCAGGGTCACGGACTCCTCCATGTTGGAGATGCTCTTACCTACAGGTGGCGGGGACGGCGCAGACACGTCAGGAAGTGGGCTTCTGGGGCCCAGCCCTGAGCTTCGTCGAGCGGGGCGGGCGCCCGGGGTGCTCCTGACGGCCCGCTGCATGGGCCCGGGCCTGGCGACCCGAGTCAGCCCCCTGGGCAGGCAGGCAGGCTGGGTGTAAGGCCACATGTCCACCTCGGAGCAAAACGCCATTAGCATTTGGGTGTTTCTTTTCCTTGACGCCAAAATCAAGTTTTTTATTTTATTTATTTATTTTTTAAAAATTAGTGTCTTATTCAAGAATAGTCAGAGTGCATGAACTTTTTTACACCACTGAGGATATTCAATAAATTTCATAATAAGGGCTTATAGTCAGAACAAGGAAGTGAGTGGAGAGTAAAGGTATAAAGGGTGAGGGCTCAACAGTGTAGGGATTTTTCCTGCAGTGAGGAACATGCTCCAGAACTAACTGTGGTGGTGGTCACACATGTCTGTGAATGTCTGTAACTAAAAACCACTTAAAAATGAGTCCATCAGTACATATCAAAGCATACTCTACAATCTGCTAGCCGACCGAAGTTTTAAGTAACCAGGGGACATGAAGCGCTCCTGGCGGCCCCGACCTCGCTGGGCATGAAAGGCGGTCCTCACAGCTGTCCCCCAGCTCAGGCTGGCCTCCCCTGCCCTTCCCACCTCCCCCTGCCCCTGCCCGGGGAGCCCCGCCCCAACCACCCCCCTGACTCACTCATCCACCCCCTCCTTCAGATCGCAGCTCGAGGGTGCTGAGATCAGACAGGACTTTCAGGACCCCTTAGGTCTCCGGCCTGCACCGCTTCTGCGTGCGGGCCCGTCGCCACCTCTCCGCTCGTCCTGAGAGCTGGCTGGCCTCCCGCTGCCGCCCCTGCTGGGCTGTGAGCTCTCGGAGGCACAGACCCAGGGAGGCTCACACAGCCTTGCTCTTGGTGACATCCCGGTCCCTGGGACACCGCCCGAGCACACGCCAGGGGCCTCACGCGTGTTTTGTAAAATTCGCCAGCAGTTCCGATCACAAGGGGCCTGTCTGCTGGGGACCCCACAGCCCTCCGCGCACCTCGGTGTTCTACTCGTGTGCAACGGGGAAAGCCAGCAGCCCACACAGAGAGGCAAATGAAAGAGGACGTCGCCTGCACGTCGGGGTTTGGGTGGATGGGAGGTGAGCAGGGGAATATTATAACCAGAGAGGAAGTCTGATCTTGTACAGGTCAGAGTGTCGTCCAGGAGGGGTGGAACGAGGCTGCGGCACAGTGGTTTGGGCTCTGCGTGTCTCCTGGGCGGGCAGGGAGACATTCTGGTGGACATTTTTTTTTTTCCTCTCTTTGTTTCTGGGCATCAATGATGATGTTAAATGAATGCTCCGGGGTGAGGCTGAGGACTGGAAGCTGCGGGTCAGACTGGACTCTGCGGTCTGTTTCCCAGATGGAGAGGGAGAGGAGGGAATGCAGAGAGACTTTCTGAGCACCAGACGAGGGGTTCTGTAATAGCATTAACTCGGGAAAATGACATGCCATTCATACACTGTAAATCCTGCAGGAATCAAATCTGATTTACGAACACTTGTTAGAAGTGAATTTACACAGAAAAAAATAAATCCTTTCTTGGAGGGATGAATGGCTCAACGCTACAGAAGCAAATGGCAGGCACTTTAGGGCCTCCTGGCTTTATTAACCCTCTTGGTGCAGGGACCACAGTGCTGGGTGGCCGGGAACGCGGGGCCCGGCCGGCAGAGGGCTCAGAGCCCAGGTGCGGGCCCAGGCAGCCCGCACCCCGTCAGTGAAGGGCTGGACCACAGACCCGGGACCACAGACCCGGGACCACAGACCCGGCTGTGACCGTCCCGAGGCGACTGAGCCGTGCCCGGCTCCCTGTTCCCATGATTCTGAAGGGGCCGTTCCTCACCTCTCAAACACTGTCCACGTTTTTTTTTGAAGGTCCTAGCAGTGTTTACGTACTGCATCTCTGTGTTTAAATTTACCAGTTAAAGTTAGCACACCTTTAAATCTCTGAGTGGAAAGAGATATGATATAAAAATAGCAATCAGTGTGTGCTCAGTCGTGTCTGACTCTTTGTGACCCCATGGACTGTAGCCCACCAGGCTCCTCCGACCACGGGATTTTCCCGGCAAGAGTACTGGAGTGGGTTGCCATTTCCTTCTCCCACTTGCCACTTTTTTAATCATACTAGAAACCACTCCTGCGTTTGAGCAGCTGCAGAAGTGGAAACAGACTCTCTGGGGCTGGATGATAAAGGACACATGGCCCACGCGAGGGCAGAGCTGGCCGGACGCCGGTGCCCAGAGCTCCCGTTTCCTGCCTCCGGAGGAAGCCTGCTGTGTGCGTGGTGTGGGCACCCCAGACCCAGAAGGGAGGACCCTGACGTTTCAGCCCCTGGCCCCCGGGGGAGGGGGCGGCTCCCCACCTGCGCCGCAGTTGCGGTACTTCTTGCTCTGGCCGTGCAGCAGCAGTGAGAACACCACCAGCAGGATGACCAGCAGGCTGGAGAGCGCCATCACCAGGAGGAACCACCACTGCTCGTAGAACGGCGTCTCCACCTGAGCTGCAGGGCGACAGATGCACGGTCACGGGGACGGAAGCTCTGTCCCTGCTGTGACCAGGGAGGGGGGCCCCTGTCTGGTCCGGGTTGTCCTAGGTGGATCCACTGGTTTCCCGGAGAAGAGGCTCTGGGGCTGCTATCTCTCTTGGGCCTGGGGTCCTCTCTCCGCCGCTGCCCCCACCCCAGGCCTTGGCCAGCGAGCTTACATTCTCCCAGTTTCATCTGTTGTCTGGGTTATGGGGAGGGAGGAACAGAAGTGCCCGGCCTTGCTCCTCTCTCCCAGTATGGGGGGCTTTCTCCCCAGACACCCCCAAATCCCCTGGCCGCCTCAATTCCTGCTGCCACCAGAACCCCTGCTGAATCCTTGACATTGCAGGGAGTTCTTGGGTGGAGAGTCGGCCCCTCCAGCAAGTGCTGCGCCCGTGAGCCTGGGAGCCCCGTGACCGACCCCTCCGGGCTGAGAGCTGGACGCGCCCACACCCGCCCGGGAGCCTCTGCTCACCCGCTGCGGCTGGGGGCGCCTGTCTGCTACCTGTCGGCCTCCTCCGCCGCGCCAGGGCCCCTACCCACGGAGGCTGGGGCTGTGTTCTATGTGTTTTATGTATTTCGCGCCCCCAGCAAAACTGAGAGTTACTCTGAAGGAGGAGTGTCTTCTTCCTCCTGTCTTATTCTGTTTACTCAGGAGAGAGAGACGGGAGCTGCTCTGTGCCAGGTGCCAGATGGCTCTGGGGTCCCCCTCGTGCCTTCCACCTGCTTCCCTGTGGGGGGCATCGGATGTGTGGGACAGGAAGGGCGCCGCGAGGTCTGCACCCAGAAGCAGAAACCCGCCAGAAGGGTCTCAGTGGACGGACTTGAAGCGTGTGCGCCCTGCGAACAAGGGGACATCCGCTCCGGGTGCCGCGACAGAACAGGGGGGAAGCCCTGGCAGGCGACCGTGCTTTAGGTCCGACACACACGACCTGGGTTGCAGAGCGACGTGTGAGCCAAGGTGCCCACGGGCCCGAGGACCGGGAGCCATGTTCTTACGTAGGAACCAGCCTCTGCCGTCCCCTCTGCGTGTGCGGGATCAAAAGCCCTGTGCGTTTGGAGCTGCTTTTTGTAATTTCTTATACATGGTCAAGGGAGACAAACCCTGAATTGCTGAACTGAGTGATGGGCTTCCTTATTCCATTCTCTCTACTTTGGGGTGTGTTTACAAGTTTCTTCATAAAGACAAAGTAGAAGAGGTAAATTTGATCTTTCTATCTATTTTTCATTAAACAAGTGAGTGGTCCCCGGGTTGTCCCTCTCACCAGGCGCCCCTGGAATCCACGGTGCTCCCAGACCAGGAGGCGCGGGGCCCGGGTGCCCACGGATGCTCCCCTCCCTCCAGGCTCACTCAAGGAAACGATGAAGGATGTTTCCAATTTAAACAAGCACAGTCAGCAGCTTAAACAGATGTGACTATGGGGATGGGGAACATATTTGTCTTGATTGGAAGGAAGGCTCGTGGTTTCTGGCCCAGAATTGGCCTGCGACCTCCAAACATCTCTGCAACCAGCTCCCTTCTCAAATCGGCTCCAGGGGGTCGGCCTGCAGCCACCCCACCTCTAGAGCCTGGCTTGCAATCTCAGTGGCATGGAAGGACCACCTCGGAGCTAGAAAATCATCAGGCCCAGATCCATGACNTTTTTTTTTTTAGGATTTTGCTTTTCAATTTTCGACTCAACAGTTAAGGACACATCTGCTAACAGAGGGTCTCAGGCTGCACTTTGCAGGGGACGCCTTCTCCCCTGGGGGGACCCTGCCCAGCTCAAGCTGAGGCCCTGGCTCTGAAAGAGGGCGAGAGGAGCTCAGCGCGGCCAGGACGTCTCCCCTGGGGACGGCCGTGCTCAGGGCCCATGCTGTCCACCAACCCCCCCCCGGGGTCCCCGGGCGGGGCTCCTACCTGACACAGTGGCGGAGGGGCTGCTGGGCTCCCCGTAGCCCGCCTGGTTCACGGCCACCACACGGAACTCGTAGGTCACTCCTTGCCTGAGCTGGTCCAGGCTGACGGTGTAGGACGTGGCGCCCCGCGGAATGTCCTTGGCAAACATGTCCCACAGGCCTTCGTCTACAGGGCAGCGAGAACGGAGGTCAGGGCGCCCGTCTCCCGGATGGAGGCCCTGCGGGTGGACCCTGCCCACCCTGCCCTCAGCCCCCAGCTCCCTCCTGGGGGACGGAGGTAAGCTGCTCAGGCCGGGGCCTCACACTCCTGGACAGGCTCCGCCAAGGCTGCAAGCTGGGTGGAAGCGTTTTTCCCTGATGTCCTCCAGGCCTCTGGTTTCTGACTGCCTCTTTGGTGTAGCGTGCTAGCTGTTTTTGGGACATCCTGCTGTCCCTGCCCACTGCGTGTCCCTAACCCCTAAGTTCCCACTATCCCGACTCACGGAGGACATGTGCCCCTGCCCCCACGGGCCCAGGGGCCCCCACGTGCACAGGCCTCTCTGAGTTCTCAGCCCCACTGCCTTCAAACTGGAAGTGACAATCCAGCAGGCGGGTCAAAGAGAAAACGCTCAACAGCAGCCTCATTCACCAGCCAGCTCCCAGGTGTGGGGTGATGCTGCGAGGCCATCTACACTGTCTGGGTGGTCACTGCAGCGTGCCCAGTACGGCTTTTGATAATCGGTCGCGGGTCGTGTTCTCTCACGGGGGGATGGCGCCGAGGGGCAGCTAGCACAGAGGTGCAGGCAGGGGCTCTGGGCCAACCCCACGGGGTCCTCGGCCCCTCACCTGGGGACCTGGCTTCACCTCCCGAACCAAACCCATGAAGTGCCTTCCTCGAGTTTGAGCATCCTTTGGAGTTAAAGGATGTCAAACCTGCCCTAAGACCAGTCGTTTTTAGTCTCTGCCCGGGAGCTACCAGACACAAGTATAGATTTTAAAAGACGCTGAATTCTGACTGTTTGCAGTCCATGGGGTCGCAGAGAGTCAGACACGACTGGGCGGCTGAACAAGAGCTGAATTGTGAACTCATACGCCCATGTTCATAGAGCATTATTCACAGGAGCCGAAAGGTGAAGAAGGCAACCTGTGCCCATCAACAGAGGCATGGATAAACAAGATGTGGTCCGTCTAGCCACAGAGAGCAGTGTGATCCAGCCTCAGAAAGGGGGACGTTCTCACAGCTGCTGACACAGCGTGGATGAACCTCAAGGACATGACGCTGCGTCACGCACAGACAAACGCTGTGCGGTTCCACGTCTAGGAGGTTCCCAGAGCGAATCCACAGGGACAGAAGGGAGAAGGGCGGGTGCCAGGGGCTGAGATGTGATTTAATGAGGACAGAGCCTTGGTCTGGGAAGATGAACAAGCCCTGGAGACGATGGCGCACAACCACGTGGATGTACTTAATGCTACTGAACTGCACACTTACAGATGGCTAAGACGGTAAATCTACGTCGTGTGTTCCACCACAATGAAAATACATACTGAATTTCTTTAGACCCTGACATACAGGAAAACATTAATAAAACTGAAATTGAAGCCAGGAAATCAGATGCAGAGAGAAGGGAAGCAGCTAAGACAGCCTTGGTGCGAAGCCTGCCTCAACCACGCGTGAGCTGTGTGACCTCAGGGAGAGTGTTTACCCTCTCTGTGCCTCACTGTAGAACGCGGGCAACAAAGGACATCTACATCCCAGGCGTGCCTCGGGGACTGAACGAGTGAGTCCTGAGGAAGTGCTCAGGACGCAGTGCACCCCGCGAGTGCTGGCGAAATCCAGCCTCTAAGGAGCTCGCTTGGTAAAAAGTGGGCTCTGGGCCCACGCTGCTCGTTTGACGTACTGATCCTCCCTGAATTATAAATTCTGTTATAGGAGCAGGTAGGTGATCTTTTACAAAGAGCAGGCGATCTGGAGAGGAACAGCGCATTTGAATGTGCATGCTTCACAAGGCGGACGGCTCTCTGGGAAACAGCCTCATCACACACCTCGGAACACCAGCGGCTTGAGAGGATCAGCCCCACGGTCGGCAGGAGATCACCCGCATGGGAGTCTGTGTTTGCACAGGGCTTAGAGTGTGCACGGGTTAAGCGCGTGTAGTCACGGGTTAACGAAGGAATGGATGCGGGCGAGACTTGAAGGCACAGACCGCGGCACAGGCAGAGGGGAGCGCGATGACTACTTATAACGCTCACATTTACAGCAGTTTCCCACCAAGACACCCATTACCATTAACAACATCCAAATGGCAAGTCACCGCTTAAGCGTCCTCTTCCGTCTGAGAACACTAGGGTTCACACACACGATTGTTCTCTGTGGTCTATTTCTGGTGTGAAGGGTGCGCTTTCTCTGCAGGCCCTAGTCCCTCGCCTGGAGACCTCGGGAGGCCCTGCTCCCCCTCCACGTCCATTCGCCCACCCATTCGATCCACAAACACTCAAGTGCTCATGCTCTGCTCAGGCCCTGTTCCAGCCAACAGGGAACCAGATGAGATTTCTGGTCTCAGTGAGCGATTGATAAGTCTACAGGTGGGGGTGGAGGAGAACCAACAAGGTCATCTCACCCTTTCAGATTCACCTTCTGGAGGACAGCCCTGATCCACTCCTGCGCTCTAGGAAGAGATGGCAGAGTCCATCTATGGGCCTCCAGGACACATCTTTATGTTTACCTGTCTGCTTGTACCAACGGGCTCTTGAGTGTTTCAAGAGTTCAATAAATATCAGTTGACATGATTCACCTCCCCTTTCTTACCTCTTCCCTTTCTTCCTGCATTCCTTCTTTTCTCCCCTCCCTCCCTCTCTCCATCCGTCTTTCCTCTCTTCCACCCATTCATCCTTGCATCTACCCATCCACCCGTCTATCCCTCCATCCAGCCACCTGTCCTTCCATCCACACATCCTTCCCTCCATCCATCCATCCTTCCATCTCTGCCCCCACAGCCTTTTACAGGGCCTGGCCCAAGCAAGTTTTCAATAAAATAATAACCACCACTATTTATTTAGTGCTTACTATGAGCAAGTCACTGTTCCAAGGGCTTTAAACATTGAATGCATCGTGTGGTGTTTTCCCTCTAAGAAGACAGTTTTATGCTGTGAAAGAGACTAGAGAAAAAGCACGGGCCCTAATACACTGGACAGTGCCGGAAGGCCCTGTGCTTAAGTGACTAACAGGACCGTGAAAGGTTCTGAGCGTGAGGACCGCTGCAGCCCACTCTCCGAGTGTCTTTGGCACCAAGGTTTCTGTAATGCTCTCCTGCTACTTAAAGGAAAAAAAAAATTATTTCCCCTTCCTCTCCCATCACCCAGAGGCCACATTTTATTTTAAATGCTCTGTCATAGCTCCAGGAATTATGTGTATTTTTCATAAAAACGTTTTTAAAATATTGGTACAGAATCTCAACACAAGACGATTTACTTTACACGGAAAAACGCTGGGAGGAGGGGAGTCATACCGAGAGAATTTCCTTCTGAATTAATAGAGAAAAGTTTGCATTTTTGTTCTGCTTAATTCTGCCTTTCCAAAACCAGCATACTCAGCATTTTCAGCTCCACGTGTAACCCTCTGGCTGTTTACTCACACTGATGCTCACACCGTCATCACGGCCGGCAGAAACCCCTGGTGGCCGCTGGGACGTCCATTCTGTCTCTCCACTGCCAACCGTTTCCCTCATTTGTACTGTGTCATTAAATATCACAATAAATCAATGATGGAGAAAAGGATGTCTACAAATTAGGGGGGAAAATAACATTACAGAACTATTAAGCATAATGAGATTTGCGCAACTGATTTTCCACGCACCAGGATAATCCCTGGGCTTGAATGTCCATTTCGATCAACATTTGAGAGAAGCGCAGGCCCTTGTGTGTTTCTGGGGATGTGCTTGGCCTGCTCTCAGACACCAGATGAGGCTACCCTGCTGGGTGCCCTGGAGACCCCAGCCAGTTTCCCCTTCCCGCCCTCGTGGGGAGCTTGGATTGGCCCGAGGGGAACAGTGGCTGTTTTTCCCAAAGCCACATCCCTGGGGCTGAGGACCAGCCCTGCAGACGGTATCAGGCCTTTGACCTTCCTGGTGGTGACGCTGACCTTCAGGCCGGGGCCACATGATGTCTGTGCTGGGGTGTTCACGGTGTCTGCTGGGCCCGGCCCCCCTTCATGGACCCCCGGCACCTTCCTGGACTCCTGTTACTGAGACGCTGCTGGGAAAACACCAGAGCGAGTAAGAGGGTGGAGCCACTGATCAATGAATGCTGCAGAATGTTGCCGGGTAAACTGTACTCTGGCCACACGCCTCCATCCCCGCTGGCTCGGGAGGAGAGCTGTCCACCTACACCACGCGGCCCCGCCAGCTGGTTTTCCTTTAAAGACAGAAGCTCCTGGTCTGGGCCGCCCTGTGGCAGTGTTTGTTTCCTAGAAACGGAAGATGGCTAATTCTGAACGGCCTCGAGGAAAGCAAGCGCCCTCCGTCCACACAGGCTGCCCCCCGAAAAGCTCGTTTCTCAGAGGGGAGCAAGGCGACTCTTCGCTTCCGGGGCCAGCACCTCCCTCCTCACCTGGCGGAGGCAAGAGGCCTGTGTCTCCAACCTCAGCACTGGGAACCAGGAAGACCTCCCTCCTGACCAGAGCCCCCCCGGCGCAGGCACATCCCGGGGTCTGCGCTCCGTGGGTCCCCCAACACCGAGAAGCGCAGGCAGACGCCAATACAAAAGTCTGATTTCCTGGACAGTCAGACAGTCTCCACACTGAGTGAAACTGTCATTCATGGCCCGAGGTTTCTGGGGCCACTAACTCACACAACGGGTGTGGGACGTCGGCTTGCAACTCTGAGCCTGGCAGCTGTTTATTTCTTGCTCTTGTTGTTTATTCGCTAGGTTGTGTCTGACTCTCTTGCGACGCCATGGACTGTAGCCCGCCAGACGCCTCCGTCCACGGGAGGAGTGGGCTGCCGTGTCCTTCTGCAGGGGATCTTCAGCCCAGGTCAGGTCTCCTGCGCTGGCAGGCGGATTTTTCAATACTGAGTCACTGGGGAGGCCTCTTTATTGCTTGAATGCTGCCATTTCTCTTGGTGTAAATGGTCTGGGTCGGAAACTTAACTGACACGGTGGGGATTAAACTTGAGGCTAAATACATCTGAT